ACAGTTTTGAGATGTTGTTTGTTGGTGACCTTATGACGTCCCCTGATCTCTGCCCGAATCGTCCAAGTCCTACAGCTGTACAGCAATACAGCCTGCACCGTAGTCTGATATACACGTTCTTTGGGGCCCAACGATGTCTTATGACAACAAATAGTGCATATTAGAGGAAGCAATTCTGTCCCTTTCATACGCTGACTTCATCTGTCACACTACCATCAGAGCTATTACAGCTTCCAAGAAAAATGTAGTGTTCCGCAGCTCTTAACGTCGCTCACTGAATGCTCAGAAGCGTGGCTAAAGCTTTCATTTACAATTCGTGAACGCAAAGGATATCCCGAGGGGCTGGATAATCTTCGAATTTTCTAATTTTGCTCTGCTTTCTGCTCTTTTAAAAATGATGTCCGCATATTAGATGTCGGTAAATTTTCCGTTGGGAAAAATCTGAATACCGGCATTTTGAAGACCTTCCAGATTTCGCCTCACTACCTCATCACTCACGAAATAAGAAATGAAGGGGGCGGAAATTCTTATCGGGCACCACTGTTTGGAGGATTGCTTTCGTAAAACTTTTTGCGCAATCTAACGCGCCCGCTAGTATGCGAACTTTAACGTACGATATGCATAAACTCCTTGGGCATATCCTGTTGTACAAAAATGCTGGAAAATGCGAACGCGTTAAAAGAAACGGACGCGCTCCTGGAGTCGAAAAACACCATAATCGTAGTGTAAATATGAATGCTGTTTCTCCAACACTTGATGAGGGTAGAAAAATGACCGACAGTAAGGCGCCTCGGCCGTGATTCTCACTTTCAAGAAGGACGGCGTGGGCAAACCACTGGAAAATCAGCAGTGTCTGGAGACGAAGTTCGTCCCTTCCAAATTATTGTCTCTTATGAAGGTTCTGTAAGCCCCCTCCGTCGGACGCGTACGTGTCAATGGCAAATTCCTTTGAGTTCACCACATCCACTGATATCAGACAAAGGTGTCCTCTTTCACACTTTCTCTTTAATTTCGTAATCTATGCGCGCTGTGAATCTTCTTTACCTAACATATCGGAGGTCGAAATGCTGCCGAGGCGTTCTCGTTCGAGTGAGTATACCGATGATATTACTGTTCTTGGATGAGACCCTTTAGAAACCTGAACTATTTTGAGCAACCCAAGTAATCCTGTGAAGTTCAGCACGCGTTTCGCGCTTGTGAAATACAATTGCAAGCCTGGATGGGGTCAAACCCAAACATGATGCTCGCTAGTGAACCGATTGATATGGTGGGTAGGTTCGTCTATCTGGGCAGCTGAGTAATTCCCGGTGAACTGATGATAGACGAAATCACTTATCTTATTGCATAGGTCAGGACAGTCCTTATCATTTGTAGCGCCAACGTGACGTTGGCTTGACAGTCAAGGGTAGAATGCACACTGCCGCAGTCCAACGAGGCATCAAAGCCCTCACCAGTCAGCTCAGTCTCGTCTCAAAAATGTTGTCAACACGGCTGGAATCCTGCTTTTTGTTCGTGGGTCCTGTCTTCATACGCCTTCTTAAGACAATGTAAGATAAGCAACGCAAAGGATATGGTTACAACAGGGATCGGTCTGATCCCTTTGTGGTTGCTACTGCTGATCCTGAAAGTCGGACTCTCCACCATTGGTTGGTGCGGTCTCTCTCGCCCAGACATAGACCGGTGTATCAGACTGAAGATTTAACCTTCATTTTTGAACAGATTTGGTTGGGCTTTGTCAGGAGCAGTATTCTGGTGACGCTTGAAGCATTCGCTTATTTTCGAAACCGTCGAGGGTTCCAACTTCACTCTTCAGGACTGCGTTGCGTATCAAATATCCGGCTGAACAACTGTAGATGACCATTTGCATTGCTGTTGGAAATGCCCATGTCAGCGATTTGGGTTTTCTTTTTATGATGTAATTGAGCTATTTTTATCGGTGATTGTTTCACTCACCAGATTCCTCCTTGGGCCTGTCGCGCGTATCAGCTTTGACAGATCTCCACCATCCCCTCAGCTTTCTAGACCCACTCAGCTTCCCGGTCCGCGAAGGTGCTCTTTCTCGCCTGAAGTCCAGTGGTTTGTATTATCCTATGGACAAGCAGTTTTAGAGTACTGTTCGAGATCCGGTGCTTGGATCCAGTTTATCGCGCCCTTCCACAAATCAGACGCCCCTCATTTTGCAGGGTTATATACATTGATTTCGAGTCAACACCAGAAGACGGATACAACTTCAGTAGGTGATTTTGGTAGGTTTGTTTCAATAGTTAGAAGAGGTTTGTGCGTTTCTAAGCGGTGGGAAAAAGCAACGAATAAGCGTGCTATGCGAAGCCATTGAGGTCTTCCAGAACGAGCGAGGATCAGTAACTGATCCACGCCACCTATAGCCGTTCTCTCAGAACCATGGATTGTGTACGCTGGTGCCGGCAAGTTCGCAACGAGTCGACTGGAAAAAGAATGATCGGCTGTGCAATGGGGATTTCAATCAAAGAATGTATCCAGCACTAAAAGCAGCGGTGGTCCGGTCATGTGTTGTGCATACCGAACCATCCTTTGCCCAAGAACGCACTGTTTTCCGTGTCCACTTCGGATTGGCACATTCAAAAAACGGCCAACCTTTGACCTGGCAGAGGAGTATCAAAGAGATTGTAAAAAGTCTCAAACTGTCGGTGTGACTCGCCTTTCAGAATGGCGTCCGTGTGTTCCTCACTGTTCATGGCTGAATACGCTGCAAGATGTGGCCTCTAGTCGATTTCAGTGGCGTCCTTGTCAGTTTCGGTGCAGATCGTCAGAGTGAGTGTCAAGAGGTGTAGCAATCAGTTGCGGCAGGCTAGCTTTGGGTTCTTTTCCCAAATTATGGTTTTACGGCTACGAAGTATCAGTGTTAAGCATTGGTGCTACATTCTGGAGGGGGATGATAATAGCTAATGGACATGTGGTCTATATGCTGGAGCTGGGTTCGCTTGCGGGAGGCACCACGTGGTCAAGACGGTCAGACGTTCGCTTGCGGGAGGCACCACGTGGTCAAGGGTCTTCTGTTGTTTCAGAAGTTAGTACTGCGCACAAGTGCAGCGGGCGTTCTGCGTTTTGTATACGTCTTGATTTCGGTTCAAGACGATCACCCAATCGAGCCAAAGCAGCACCATTGGCGCATCTGTTTTCCCGGCAATCATACTATCTGAGCTCACCGCAACAAGGCGCTCAAAGCGTCGTAACTGTCTTTGAGAGTAGTAGCGCTGCAGTCTGTCGGATGTAAACATATATTGAACAGGCCGCGGTCATCAGTGCGCTTACTCATGAACGTTACCAAAAGAGATGCAACCAAAACGTGAACCCAACTAGAGACCCTTCAGCTCGGTGGCTTAAAACAATGCCACCCGCAGAAAAACTAGCCACAGCAGCTTCTGGATCACCAAAGGTGCACAATCGGAAGCCTTTGGCTTAAAAGCCATATGAGTAGTGTTCCGTGTAGACAGTGTTCTACGTTATCTCGAATGTCGTACCAACGAAAACATGGGGCCAATGGTCGTTGTTTCGTTCACTGCAATTCGATTGCAAACGTTTCACCACCAATCGAGGTGACATCACCAGTGCGTTTTTGGGGAGCATAGTGGAACGTAGCGATGCGTCGGTGGTTGTACGTTGAGTAGTGTTGTATGTGTGGTAATATACTTGCTGCCAGCGGGGCTGACCTTCGGTCACGATCTGTCGCTCGGTCGGGAGGTTCCATTGGAGTCTCTGTCATCCTATTTCTTGATTGATCATCATCATCGTCAGCTTTAATAACGGCGTACTTGTCGCAGAGTGCCACAGTTTCGTTCGCCGATGATTTGGGGAGTTGGGGTAGATAGCTGCGCATTGGAGGCGGGAGCTGACAAATTACTGCGTAAATACAGTAGTCAGTGGACTGTTAAGTGCGGGAGTTGGGAATGGAGCTATGGATTGAAAGCAGTAGCTTGGATGCATGAGCGCCATTGAGGGCGCGACTGGGTCATGTCTGACAGTGTCTCTAACCATTGATGTGGCCCGTCTCGGGGTCCCCATCCAGGAAGACGGCAATGGCTAGCGCAGCTGAGTTTGCTGGCAATGGCTTTTATACTTCGCTGCCAATTAATTGTTTGACCGCCTCTGGCTCTCTTCCACCCTTCACGTGGTTGTGCGAACAGAGCCCTTTGAGGACGTCGGTCGACTGGCATACGCAGCACGTAGCCAACTCAGTGCAACCTATTCAGTGTGACCAGTTCATCTATCGAGGGTGTTTTTTCTTCCGAATACCATTCAGCGTACTTCAGCATTGTTTATCCGGTGTTCCCACTCGCGCTTGGACTTGGCATCCCGTGCTCTTGTACTCTGGTCGATGCTGGAGTGACCTCTATCCTTGATTCCTGAGTTCCGGCTTGTGAACCTCGTTGATTCGACTCCAAGGAGTCTCTTGTTCCTTGTTTTTTTGGTTCGATATTCTGCTTTCCTTGAGTATTACGGTTGAGATATTGGTCCTTTGTACATAGTGGTGCGTAAATTGGGTTTAGTTCAATGCATGGGCTGATTTAATTCGCCATGGAGTACTATGCCTCCGTATGTCTATGTCTCCGTATGCCAGAATTTTCACGTTTCCAGATTGAATTGGTGGCCTCGGTTTTTATGTACGGATATCAAGGATGTCACCTGACAGCCGAGTTGTTTCTTTATTCCTATACATAATTTCTTCCTAGTTTGCCTAACGTAGAATTTGTTGCAGTTGATTTGGTTTATCACATGTTCCTATTACATAGTGGTGCGTAAATTGGGTTTAGTTCAATGCATGGGCTGATTTAATTCGCCATGGAGTACTATGCCTCCGTATGTCTATGTCTCCGTATGCCAGAATTTTCACGTTTCCAGATTGAATTGGTGGCCTCGGTTTTTATGTACGGATATCAAGGATGTCACCTGACAGCCGAGTTGTTTCTTTATTCCTATACATAATTTCTTCCCAGTTTGCCTAACGTAGAATTTGTTGCAGTTGATTTGGTTTATCACATTGTTCCTATTGGTTTTGTTACAAACATTCTGTCTGCTGTCTATACCGAAATGATTTCATAGTAGTCCCCTCCCTGTTGATGTGCCGTAAGTGCGAAGCTCCGCTGGTGACTCTACGCTGACGGTAAATGACGAACGTGATTCCTTTTATCATTTTTACTATTTTTTCATAATCCTCTTGTCGGAGAACTTTTGCTTGATCTTTGCGTGTTAATTGCCGTGTGTATAGTTTCAGTTTACGGTGTTTACTCTCGTAATTTTAAAGGTGTCCTCACTGCAACTTTCGTCTTCTTGTGACATCAGAACTATAGTGCGGTGGTTTACCTCTGAAACACTAAACTTACGGATGAATTCTCTGGACTGGAGGCCATAGACTCGACCTGTTCCTGTGTTTATGATGCATTCACTGGTCAAAATCTCGCCGGGTACGGCGACTAAGTTATTCAATGCAGTCCGCCTCGCCAAAATTTCTCATGAGCGGACCATACACTCTGGATCTCTGGTGGAGTTTTTGAGTCGAGAATTTTTCCATCCCGATTATGTTCACATGAAGTTTCTCTCAAATCTCCTCATTTCCACCCACACTACACTCAGTCTGCCATGGGATTCCACCGTTGTCTGTACGGCGGTTCTCTTGCGTTCTTTGATAACTTTTCCCTTCTACATATATTCCGAGCGAAACTATGCGAAAGTTGCCCACGTCGCAATCGATTGCTCCAAATCTAGACCGCTGTTGGAACAAAAAGTGAAGCACTCACTTCATTACAAACGCCTGACAGAATCTGCGGCAAAGGTTTATATGACACGTATGGTTTGTTTATTCCTTCAATCACCTGTATTTTCGTGGTTAGTCTCGCACCGTCTTCATCCGGACATGTGAAGCAAATCACTGCCACCCGGCAAAGTCAGCAGCTGTAACTTTGGTACAAATTCCTCTGTGGTTGTCCTTCACTTACACCTTGAGAAACATTTGCGGCTTCCACACTGCATCGGGATACGGTGAGTTCTTCGTGTTTTTCCAGTGGGACGCTTTCTATTCACATCAGTCTTTTTCGTCTTGCTCGCTTTTGACGCAACGGACAGTTTGAACTTAGATAGGAAAATAGCTTTTGAAGGCTCAACGAATTCATGGTGCAGCTGTATACCTGGACCGAATGTTATAGCTATTCCAACCCTCCGGTATCCTCTGTGAAAAAAGCCTTCAATAAGCCCACAGTTACCGCATAAAGAGGATTGAGCGGACTGAGTTGATATTTAGGAAATGGTAAAAAATTATGGTTAAACAGCGGAGAGCGATTTCCTTCACAATGAGGCGTAGCGGTCGGTTTCTGATGTTCACAGGAATGGCACTGGCTGTACATGGTTGAATAAACCTTTGTGTGCTTTGATGCAACATCCCTGTGTTCCACGTTCTCTCGAGTTGGCAAGAATACCTGTTAGTTCCCAGCAGATAATTGTGGTTCGGAATTGTAGAGTTATTGCGGTTGTTTTCACATCCTTTTTCTCGTTCATAGACTATTTTGAGGAGCACCCCACAACTGCGGGTCTAGTTCAACCGCCCCATCATCTCCTAGTCTCCAACACCCGTTTGCCATTCTCCGTCTTGCATTGATCAGCTTATCCTTCTGAAACTGTATTGATTTGACTCTAACTTACGCTTTTCCAGAGAAGGATGTCATATCCCAATAAGCTCAACAGGCGTTCCTTATTTTTGTTTCTGATTTTAGGCTGGCCACCCATGGTGCCCGACATTGTCTCTGAAGGCATAAATGTGGCATGCACATCATGCGTTATTCCGGTGGGTTTGCTGCTTACTGGGCTGGCAAACGTAGAATTGGCGCATCTTCGACGGCCGCGGTCTCGTGGTGACGGATCGGTCTTTGGGGCCGTATCTTCGGACCATTGGTCTTACAAAGTAGCACGTGGATCTGGATGGTTTGGAAATTTGTGCATTTTTGGATTTTCCTTCCTCGTTCCGAAGGTGGGATAGTGCGATTATCGTCTAGTTCCTCCAATTAATTTCTTTCCTCCAGGCTCTGGTTATCTATTGGCTAACGTCTGCAATCCATCAATTGTTTACCCATCTACTTGTGATGCACCCAACAGTGCGCCACTGGTTCGGTATTTGGCCGCGTCCGAACGAGGGCAATCAGCCCTACAAAGTTATCGTTCAGGCAGCCCTTTCCCGGTACCATATTTTACGCTGGGTGCGGTCAAAATTCTTCGTCTGACATACCGACGTGGATTTGACTTGACTTTTCTGTTTATCCTCGTTCTTGCTCGAACGATTTTTAGAACTTACTCCTCGTACCAACCAAATTGGACCTTTTCTGTCAATTTTCGATAAAACCTGCTCATGTATACCTTCTTTCTATTTCTTATCTTCGCACTGAGATTTCATGCTACTATTCTCGGGGTGTCCTATAGGAACCTAAAGGCGAGATGGCCCAAGTGGTTAGAGCGCGAATATACTGACCGCAAGGTCCGTGGTTCGAACCCGACCTCTGCCTCTCGACTTCCCCTGTCTAGACTTGGGTAACCTGGCAGTATCCCAGCCCTCGTGCTTCCTTTGGGTGGCATGGCAGCTGGGCACCGAAAGGGTGCTACAGCTGAACGGTTTAATTGGTGTGACACGTTTACATTACACTCACGGAGCTGCTCATGTCTTCATCCCGAAGCACTGTTAGCATCTTTTCTGGAATGTCTTGACTTGAAAGACTAAACGTGAAATGAATCGTCTCGAGGTTCAAATTGATGTGATAACACGTTGACTGCATGCGGTTGTTCACGAATTTTTAGCTCTGGAAGAAGCGCCGAATTCGTGTTCTTATCTCAAGGTGTGAAGTTCCGGCAGGATCCCTTAGCCCCGAATGCCTCTATTTTCTCTTTCACCTGACATGTTCTTCAGAAAATTTTTCTCTTTTCCTGGGTTTACACCAAAGTAGGCCAGGTGCGGGTCACATTTTTGGCCATTTTGACGTTTATTCGCATACTAGGATTTCAGTGAATTCAGGATCTGGACCCTTCCATGGCTTGCTAATTCTTACAATTGGCAAAGCGCCTAACTAACCCTAGATGTGTGATGTCCGAATGGTGACTAGAATCCTGCGATCATTCCAGCTGCAACTCATGTGGCATAAGAGGTTGGCGCATTTTAGGAAATTAGCACTTTGTTCTTCATGGTATGTTAGCCTAAAGACCTGATCCAATCAGTTCATTACAAGCCACACAACTGAACGTTTATTGGATAACTGACCATGAGAACTGGGCCCCACGGCTCATCGTGCACGTCATGATTTGCGGTATCGTATATCTGGTTGTGGGGACTACACAAGCGGGAGAACCACGGGAACTTCGGCAGTACAACTCGTCAGACAATAGCAGGAATCCATACTGGAGTCAACTAGTTAGTCTGAATTTGGCTTTCGAGCGTCCTGGCTGAACACATCGAAGCAGAGATGGCTCAGTGGTTATAGTGCGAATTTACTGACTGGAAGGTCTGTGGTTCGAACCCGGCTCCCGCATCACTTCTTTCTAGGCTCAAGCAACCTGGCAGTATCTCAGCCCTCGTGCTTCCTTTGGATGGCATGGTAACTAGGCACCGAAAGGACAACTCAACTGAACGATCATACTATTTTTTTATTTACAGGAGGCAGAACTCAACTGCCATATCAAACACTGCGTTTCCTTAGTTCTGAAACAAAGCGCCTCCTGTCTGGAAGCAGGAGTGGCAAAATCACAAAACACTTTCCAGTATTTTCTGATCACTGGCGTTTGTGCATAAGTCCCTTGGAAAGGTCACGTGAGCGAGCCGAAGTGAAAATTTTAGGGAAGGAGGTCCAATCCATTCTAATTGGTTTTTAGACATGCACTTCTTACCTCTGCGATTAGTGTGTTGAATGTTTGATACGAGCGACGCGGTTTCGTATCTAAAGGTAGTAAGAACTAAAAACCGAGTGACTTCGAAAATTAACGTTCCAAAGCAGTAAAGATAATAATCCGGTTCAATAATAAACCCTACTTAGTAAAAAATTAAAATGCCATACAATAAAAGGGGTACCCACTTCTCTCTTGGATCCGAGCATGCATTCTAGATTTTCGTAGGGTGTTACCTCTTGCTTTCAGAGGCCCACAAATTACACGATCTGGGTTCACAGCGCAATCGTCCCTTGTGCCTGTTCGCAACAGAATTTGTCACCTACCTATCACGTCAGGTTGACAATGTGAAATAATAGCAAGGCAGTGCGATGTGTAGAATGCCATCATAACGCAGTCATCTTGGTAAAAAGGCAGCTTTGGAAGTGTAGGTTAACAGGTGCTTCATGGCTCATACGTCATAAATCCCATTTTCGAGTCTTACAGATCATAGTCACGGCCAGGATTTATGAGCTGAGACCTCAAAAATATTCGTATTCCCGAAGTGTTGGCGCGTTAGTAGCTCTGATGGATGATTGAACTTCTCCAGAAGCGAGCGGACTTTACGGAGTATGAAAGGTGGAAACCACATTTGTACAGTATTAATAGGTTTCATAATTATCACTCAGCTGGCTCGGTGTTTTCCTTGTTTCGTCATTCATAATGAAGGTGTCCTTTAACCCAACCGAACGCTGTTACTGTAGTTATTCATAAGGTAGCCCAACGAAACATGGTTGTATAATCGGGATTAGTTCGTTGAACCCCAATACCCTTTCGGTGCATAGCTGCCATACCACCGGAGAAGAAAGTACGACGGCTTAGATACTATTAGGTTACCCAAGCCTAGACGGGAGCAGTCGAAATGCCCGGGTTAGATTCGAACCACCGATCGTCTGGTTAGTAAGTTCGCGCTTTAACCTTTGAGCTCTCGAAAGTGTAGTAATGATCTACAAACAGGTTCAATCAAGCACAATTCAGTTCACGAAATTGAATGAGGGATCCACTATGGAATTTTGATGGAATTCCAGAGATGTGCATTTCGGTTAACCTCGACCTGACCGGTGTATTGTATTCGTAATGTGAGGAGCTGTAGGAACTTTCAATCGAGATTTATTTATGTAACTGAAAAGCTGAAGATCCGAGACACGCTGTACAGCTGTCTCATCCCCAGTGAGAACCATCGGCAACGTACAGCTCACGAAGCTCCATGGAGTTTCAGCATTGACTGGCTTCACTTACACGCCGAAATCTCCATCGGTAATTCCAATCTCAGGTTACTGACAAACTATAAGCAGTTCAGAGGGAAAATCATTAAAAAACAAGCGAACCTTCTTTTTGAGGGGCCGTGACTCGAAGAACCAGTCAAAACGTGACCACTTAGCGCGAATTCCTCGATCGAGGGATGAGTGGCGCTATTTATCCTGCCTAAGTGCGAGTTAATCACACTGTTAACCAGTCTTCGGCGGCCGAACGGCTTACTGTTCAACTACTAACGGGGTAATCACGAGTTGGGGCTCTGGAGTTTTGGGAGATGCGCACCGCTGATGATTCCCAATTAAGGTGAAGTAGCTGTGCAGTGCTTCTCGCCATAGATTGGTTTCATTTACAGGAAAAAAGGTGCAACAAAAGCTGCATGCCTTTTGTCAGTGTTATGAAATTCTGGTCTGCAAAACAGCTGACCGGCTTTGACCTAGTTCGTCTCGTCAAGTTTCGGTGCCTCTGTAACAGAAGCAGTACACTTTTTAAGGATCGTCGCATTTGATTCTCCAAGCTAGGACTAGCATCAGTCCTCCCTTTAATTCTAATTTGTTGTAACTACAGTTATTCTTTGAATGGGCTTAGTCCAGAAGGGAAAGAAATTTGGTTGGTCCCTCCGAAGATGAATGACTTTGGAATTTCTTTCCTTAGGACTTTACCTCGACTTTGCTACTTAGAGCGCATTGTGGTACAAAACCACGATAGAGCTATCGGGAACTTGGATGAACTGGCTTGACCGCCTCGATGATGAATAACTCATGGTCCAACCCGACGGCTCATGAACCAGGACACCGGTCGGCAACAGCTGTGCGATGGGATACTGCTGCGCAGACGGGACCGGTTTTGCACTGTTAAGTGAAACTGACTTGCAATCTCGATTTTTCGAATACGCAAGTGCGTGGAACACGCTTGCGCACGTACAGGAAGCCCCCATTCTCTTGGTGGAACATACTACTCATAAGGTCACTGGTTCCACTCTTCTTGGATCTCGTCAGGTAGACACAGGCTGCAAATTCACGTCAACATGACGTCCTATTTGAACTCCAATTTTCGCGCAGTGCGCGAGATACACTTGCTTGCAAACTAATCTGGTTGAAGAACAAACAAGCAGTTCAGCTGGGTCTCCCAAATTAAATTGTAAGCAAGTGTATCTTACGGAATGCTCTGATTCCTTCAAAGTAATTTTACGAAATACTTTTCCTCATGGGCACCGTTCAATATGTGCAATATAGTGAACCGAACTAGGACATATAGATAAAAATGTATGCAAAGGAATGGCAAAAACCACAAGACTAGTGATGTCTTGTGACGCGAGATTTAGCGGTAAGATGTAGCAGGTGTCTCTTAAGAGACCACGTATTACAGTCGTCAGAATACTCATACCTGTCTGCGTATAGTCGAGCATTCTGTGTATCTCGACTCTAAAACCACAAAACCCCTTTTGTTCTTGGATGAATTACCATCGGTCTCTTGCAGGCCTGTCGTACAAACTCGAAGCGCCACTCAGTAAAGGCAGTTCCGAATTTTTACTCGTTACCTCTCATCTCAACGGTCTCCATTGCCATACCGAGCATTTCGCCAGAGATGAGAGATAACAGCCGGTGTGACTAAACACCTCACGCTTAGATATATAGTACTTCACTCCCACCACATCCAATACCAAAAGCTCTTTCAAAAGTAACACAAAAGTGAGGGTGGATTCACTATGGAACCTCGCAACTTTCCGAATATGGGTTTAAGTTTTCGTGGAGAAAAGTGCACAAGCGGACCGATGCCATGTGTCTCGTTCACAATCAGCTGCCAGCTAGGCTATCACACAGTGAGTATAAGCGGAATGGATTCAGGGACACCGACAGGTCGCTTATTGCTCAGAAACTCTCCGCATTGCATCGCCCCATAAACAAGCTGGCTAGCTGTGCACCAAAACAAATCTGATTTCAACATTAGCGAATATACACTCATTTGCAACTAATCTGGAATTTTTCGAGACTCACCTGAAAAAAAACCAGATTAGTTTGCAAATGAGTGTATATTCGCTAATGTTGAAATCAGATTTGTTTTGGTGCACAGCTAGCCAGCTTGTTTATGGGGCGATGCAATGCGGAGAGTTTCTGAGCAATAAGCGACCTGTCGGTGTCCCTGAATCCATTCCGCTTAT